TCCCCCGACATCAGGAGCTACATTTTGCCGGCTAGCTCGCAGAAGATCATGCGCACAAAAGCTTCACGCTGGAGGCACGGCGCATTGCGAGATCCAACAAAGCGATTTACATCCCATCACTACGTTGATGAAGGTATAGTAATTGTAAATGATCGCTCGGCTCACGTGTGTGTGGATAATGGCACCTGTGTCCATATAAAGGGCACATATCTCATCACGTTTGAAATGAGTGCCATGGTCAACGAAACCAGATTGGTCAATCATGATACAGCCCAGAAGAGGGCTCCAGGAGTGGCCAGCTCACCTTCCCTGAACGTCACCATGGAACGTGACGTTCTTAGCCTTCCTTACCTTCACCGACTGAGTGAAAGTTATCTGGAGCACATCAAAGAGTTCAGGAAGGAGATTAACCACCATCGGCTACATCAGTTGGTGTTCATCGGCTTGACCTATCGGCGAGTCACTCAGGCCCGAAAAACCGCTGCCCAGCTGAAGGAGATGATTGCCCAAATAGGGTCGGCCGAGGGCGGCCTCATTCTTGAAGGGGGAGTAGTTAACTGAAGTAAACCAAGCAGCGGCAATGTTCGATTATTTAAAAGCACGCTCTGGCCAAACTGCTGACAAAGCGTCTGGCCGGAAGTCCATGCATAGCGGCAAGCACTGCACATTTGCGTGGCCGCTATGAAAAACTTTTTGTTAGCTTTAAGTTTCAGCTTGTGTCAGAGTCTCATACAATAAAGAGCACCATAAAACCAATCTCCGGCACAGCCGATAACTTGTAAATTCATTTGTTGAATTGGCCATCGCGCCTCAAGGGCCGTGACAACGGGGAAAGTGCTCCCATCATAGCTCCCGTCACAGAACGTATCTCTCCTCGGCAACCGCCAGGGATCTCAACCACTACCTACAAGGAGTAGCAACACCCCCCGGCAACCGCCAGGGGTAATTACCTTAAAACATATCTCCAGCGTCTACGGCATCACCGACTGCAGCGAGGGATAACCAAAAACAACATTATCATACCCAAACCCATTTTATATTATTTTGTAGGCCCGATCGATCGGACACGGTTGGCTCCCTGTTTTGGTATGACGGGGCCTGAGATGGATTAAGAATCTTGGACCGCGATGGGTCGATGTCCATGGTTTCATGGGTATTTGGACTGCGTGGAGCAGAATGTACTTGCGCCTTGTGTTGTTTGGTGTAGTACGGATTTTTGGCTTTGTCCTCCTGGCTTTTGGCAAATAAAGCCGCGAAGGCGTATCTTTCGTGGTTAGATTCCACTTCTTGTGCCAAAGCGAGAGCTGCAGGCATATCTTTCGGCTTTGCCGAGAAAAGGACATCCGTGAGGCTGCGCTTAAGCCCCGAGATAAATACTCGGAGTGCGTCATCCCGGAATTTGTCACACAAAACTTTTGCCGCCGAGGCTTCGTACGACATGGTAGCTTTGTTGGTGAGCAAAGTGAGTTTTTTCTCGACCTCGTCTGTAGTATTGTAGAAGGGTCATATTTCCCTGCCTGAGAGTACCCATTTCTTGCTCGATAACGTGAATCTGACGCTTATCACTGTACGTAAAGTCGAGTCGATTTATAATCGCGTCGAAATTTAGTACAGTGCCAAACGAAGACAGTACGGCATCGGCAGGGCCCCTTATTTTATTCCTAATAATAATAACTGCCTGATAATGGCGCGATCTATTTACATAATTCCTGAAAATATAGTATGCGGCTACTGCCGCTTGTCTCCAGGAGACGTATGCGTCCTGTGCTCCCGTAAATTTGGGCAGGCACTTGACGGCATTTAGGGGCTCGTCACATTAGGTTTATAGGCTTTGATTTGGGGAGCTTCCGCTTGGGCGAGAGCGATTTGTGTTGCGTCGACCCGTTGAGTTGTTGTATAGCTAGACGTAGCTCATTTTGTCTACGCTGGCTTTCAGTATTGAGTTCCCGAAAGGCATGGTTAACGGCCGCCTGTATTATGGCCGTCATTTGTTCCATGTTGAATGCCATATTTGCGGCGTCGGACTCAGAGTCGCTGGAGAATTGTCTTATACTCCTTTAGTGGTGAAAAGCTCGTCGAACTGCGCTGTTGCCTTGCCAAGTAGAGACAAGGTGAGGGGTGCGCGGGGACTGAGCCTCCGCTTATTATAAACAAAGAAAAAAAATAAAAACAACAAATTGCCACACACTGCATGTGTGGCCGTATCGTGTTCTCGAAAATGGGGTGGGGAAACAAAGCGGAAAATAAAAATAAATAACCAAAACTGCGCGGCTAATACCAAGAATTCTTGTGAAACAAAAAAGACATATAAAAGCTGAGTTAAATACACGCGATTATATAAATTATTTCCGATTGAAATTTTAAATTTTCTGCCAGCGATTTTTTGGGTTTGATTAGGAATTTTTATTCCGCACTTTTGTGTTGTGTAGAAATATTCATTTATTTATTCACAAAAAACAGAAATGCAAACAATATTGGAACAATAATTGGTTTACAAAAAAATGGTTTATACTTTTTATAATAGATACAAAATGTTAATACTAAACCGTCAGCCAATTAATAAAGTTTTATTTAATTAATAAAACTGAATTAATTAAATTTAAAAATTTTATGGGGCTGCAGTTTTTTGTTAGCGTAATGCACAATATTTTACTATTCTTGTCTATCTTTTTTTTTTTTTTAATACACAAAATTCATGCAGTTTTAGAAGTACTGTGTAAATAAAAGTGCTCACTTACATGGTTTTTTACGTTGGGCGCCAAATAATATAAAATGGGTTTGGGTATGATAATGTTGTTGTTGGTTATCCCTCGCTGCAGTCGGTGATGCCGTAGATGCTGGAGATAGGTTTTAAGGTAATTACCCCTGGCGGTTGCCGGGGGGGGGGGGTTTGCTACTCCTTGTAGGTAGTTGTTGGGATCCCTGGCGGTTGCCGAGGGAAATCCGTTCTATGACGGGAGTTATGATGGGAGCACTTGCCCCGTTGTCACGGCCCTTGAGGCGCGGCGACCAATTCAACAAATGAATTTACAAGTTAACGGCTGTGCCGGAGATTGGTCTTAATGGTGCTCTTTATTCAATGAGACTCTGACACAAACTGAAAAATAAAGCTAACAAAAAGTGTTTCATAGCGGCCACGCAAATGTGCAGTGCTTGCCGCTATGCATGCGCTTCCGGCCAGCAGCCGGTCAGAAGCATGTCAGCTGTTTGGCCAGAGCGTGCTTTTAAATAATCGGACATTGCCGCTGCTCGGTTAACTTCAGTTAACTTACATATATTTTGGTTAGTCTATTCCTCTAAAAGCGTCCTTTAATATGAGATTTATGAAGGAGGAATTTAATCCTTCGTAAATTTCTTATAGTTTACTTTTTTACAATTTAATTAGAATTTTATAAACAGCACCCAAAAAATGCCAAGTGTTTCACGCACATTGCAGGAGCAACGCCACCAAGCTGCTTTAAACCGCAGCAGAGCCGGCTACCAACAAAATGCGTTGGAAATAAGAAACAGGAACTCGCAACACATCGCCAATGTACGAGCAAGCAACCCAGACTTACGGGAGGAAAGTCGTGCGCAGGATTCCGCAGCACGGGTTCAGAGGAGGCGCAGCGAATGGAATCGCAATCTAGAGCGCCTCCGGGATACTTGATAACGTGAGAACCGTCGGGAGAACCAGGAGGAACGGCGACGAGAGCAGGTGCATATTACTGCTGACCATGCGACGCGGAGGACTATTCCGGAGTACCGAATTCCGGAACGGGTTCGGGACGCCACAGCGCGTGCTATTCATCGAAAGGACTCCGAGGAGCGGCGACAAGAGCAGGTGCAAAATACTGCTGACTATGCGACGCGGAGGACTATTTCGGAGTACCGAAATCCAGAACGGGTTTGGGACGCCACAGCGCGTGCTATTCGTCGAGAGGACTCCGAGGGGCGGCGAGAAGAGCAGGTGCAAAATACTGCTGACCATGCGACGTAGAGGACTATTCCGGAGTACCGAAATCCGGAACGGGTTCGGGACGCCACAGCGCGTGCTATTCGTCGAGAGGACTCCGAGGAGCGGCAACAAGATTAGGTGCAAAAATACTGCTGACTATGCAACGCGGAGGACTATTCTGGAGTACCGAAATCCGGAACGGGTACGGGGCGCCACAGCGCGTGCTATTCGTCGAGAGGACTCCGAGGTGCGGCGACAAGAGCAGTTGCAAAGTTCTGCTGACCAAGCGACGCGGAGGACCGATCCCGAATTTCGATTGCAAGAGCGAGGACCCAGAAGAACGTGCAAGGGAACAGGAAAGAAACACTGGAGAGCACCGACAGCGACGAAGGAATACCGAAGACAAGCAGCGGGAACGGGAAAGGGACGCCGATTACAAGAGAAATCCCATCGCAAGAACACAGGAGCAACGGATAAACACATCACAACGCCGGGACACACAATCTCCTCTAAATTTCCCCTCCTAAACGTTGGCAACGCTTTTTATTTGTCACGAAAATGCACTTCCTTTATGAGGCAAATTCCTTTTATGCGGATGAATCTGATCGCGAAGCAGTAGAGCAACTTCTACAGCAGCAACACCTATCCCAAAATGCTGCAGAGCTCGAAGAAAATTTAAATCCCGGAGGCCATGAAACAATATTGGAAAATAATGATACTGCTCTTCAGCGCATTGCATTGGCACCGGGTGAAGGCCGTCGCCCAACAAGCTTAACGCTTGACGAAGACGCAGAGGAACTTTCCTTTCCAACTATTTCTTGCGGAGAAATATTTAAAGGAAATACAACCTATGCGAAAAAAGCCAGATCCCAAATCCATTTTTACGACCGTCGTTGCGCTGTAGTTCCTAAAGTTTTATACATGTATAAATTTTACGAAATGCAGCGCATTCAAAATTCTATTTCAATTGCATTACGCAAAAAGTCAGGTGCAGTTACCGCTGGTAATCTGCGGGATGAGTCGTTGGTTGGCAGACTTGTTCAACATGATGGCTTACACATCCTTAAAGGCTTACGGTCTGCACCAGCTCATTGGGAGGCTGAGAAACAAAAAGTTGTAGCTATGATTCGACAATTTGGATTTCCAACATTTTTCATTACTCTTTCCGCTGCTGAAACTAAGTGGAATGAATTTTAAGTTATCTTTTCCCTTCCATTGGACAATAGGGCTATAAGCGAGGAAGAAGTGGCTGCTCTTTCCAGCTCCGAAAAGGCTCGGTTAATCCGATCCGATCCAGTGACGTGCTCTCGATACATCAATTACAGGTTGCGATAATTAATGAAATTGTTCAAAACCGATATTTTTGGGGAATTCAATCTTTCCCATTTTTATTGGAGAATCGAATTCCAGCACAGAGAATCTCCGCACTCTCATGGCATGTACTAGCTTGCTGGTGCTCCTAAGCTCGAAGACGTCGAAAATACCGATCAATTAATAAACCTTATCGATAGGTTTATTACTACAAATGTAATTTGTCGGGCATAGGAAATATGCCATATCCTCCTATGCCCGAAACGCTTCTTTTGCATCCAATAGAAGAAAACGAAATGTTGAAGAACATAAAACTTTGTTCAAAAAAATTAACGAAGCTTTAAGGACCCTTTCAAATGAAGACGCAGCTTTGTATAATAATTTTGATTATTTTCCGACCCATGGATGGATATGGATATTCTGTTTATCCTAGATGCGTACGCTTGTTGTAGTTATAACATTAACTACATAAACAAATCTAACAGAGGCGTATCGCAGTTTCTCCGTGAAGACATGGCAGAAATAAGCCATGGGAATATTTCTATTAAAAGGAAATTACAGCACCTTGGGAATAAGTTTATTAACGCTACAGAAATATCGGCCCAAGAAGCAGCTTACAATATTTTTGGTTTGCATATGTCGGAGGCAAACGAGTTAGATTGACTCGCTCAAATGAAGAATTGGAGCGACTACCAAGCAACTCGGTGGATATTTTTGAGCGTAATATTCTTGACCGATATGTGCAAAGGCATGAGGAGTTGGAAGGAATTTGTTTAGCCGATTTCGCGGCTTGGTACAGATTTGTCAAGCGAAATGCACGATCTACCGCTAATCATAGGGAAGGCTATGATAAAGCAAATGATGTGGAGGTAGATGACGAAGATGAAGTTGCTGAGCAAAGCTATCCACTGATGGATGGGTCTGGTTGCATTAAGAAGCGCAGGCATCCCCTGATTCTAAGGTGGCTTCGCTTTAGCATTAACTCTTCACCTTCCGCTTATTTCCGAGAGCATTTAATGATCTTCTATCCTTGGCGAATTGAAGAAGCTGACGACATTGAAGACACATTCCAAGTAAGCCATGAAGCCATTAAGGCAAAAAAAGGAACTATGATGTGTTTGATGTTGGAGTTGGAAAAAGTTCTTGAAGATTTGCAATAGGATAGGGGAGATCATGCTTATGATGCGGAAGAACTTGCCTCCCAATTCTTAGACGAAGAGTTAGGAGCATTGGCAGTACCAAATATAGAGCGGAACGTAAATATTCTTCAGGATGACAACGCGATAAATAACCCTGAAGAAGACGGCGAACTTCAATTACTAATGTTGACCTTTGTTCGTTAACTCGGTCACTCAACTACAAGCAAAGACAATGCAATGCAAATGTAATGCAATGGACTACAACTGGAAAAGCTGCTTTTAGAATTGAAGGACTGACACTTCATTCAGTGTTTTCTCTTCCAATTAATCAGGCTTCAGGTCCCTTAAGGGGGGAAATACAATTAAAAGGCCTAAAATGAGGCCTATCTTTGGGAGTGAATTGCAAGTAGGGAAGTGAATGAATCTTAGCGATTCTTTTTGCATGTTATTAGAAAATTATTGGGCAATGAAAATCAGTCAAGTTTTTCGAAAAATATTGTAATTAAGCCCATTTATGATCAATAATGTGGAGTCGTGTTTTGGGGGATAAACTTTGCGCCGTGCAGTCTCCAGGCCCAGGATCACGTCTAAAACAAAAAACAGCAACTGGGCATTAAAATTAGAGGTACAGCGCACAACATGAATTATTTCATATGTAAAAAAATGGTTTTTCCATGAAAAAATTTGAAATTGAAAAAAATGATTAAAAAACACACTTTTTTTCGACTTTGTTCGTCAAAAAAACATGTTATAACAAATAAATATGAAAAATCCTTTCATTCATGTTGTGGAGAATTTCATTTCAAACATAAAGCAAAAAACCGCATTCGATTGAAATGAAATCTCTGACCTGTACATTGCACGGCGACTTTGAAAACACGACTTTTCAGTAGAAGCGTTTAAAGTTTACCACTCACTAAAGTTTACCCCTTAAGACCTTTAACCAATGATAGTTTAAATACAATTCATTGCATTGATTACAATTGATGAAATTTCAATGGTTGGTTCTAAAATGCTTTCATTTTTGGATCAAAGGTTTCGTCAAATTTTCCGAAGCCCTGACAAATATTTTGGTGGAAAATCAATTATAGTTTTTGGAGATCTGAAGCAGCTTTCCTTATTAATCCTTATAGCGTTTTAGCAGGAAATAGCCTATGGAGCAACTTTAAGTATTTTGAGCTCACAGAAATAATGCGCCAAAGAGGCGATCATGCATTTGCTCAAGCCCTGAATCATTTATCTGAGGCTTGCATGACAATTGCAGATATAGAGCTCCTAAAACAAAGAGTTGTTTCACCCAGCAAAGTTCCTGATGATCACATTCATTTATTTTCTTCTAAAAAAGAAGTTAACAATTACAATTCCATAAAACTAGCGCAAATTGGGACGGAAGAGTGGGTTTCCACTGCTGTTGATACAGTGTAAACTGCGAACATATCTGCACGAAAGAGAGAAAACACGTTAATTTATGCTCAACATATGAAAACCTCTGAAACACAGGGTTTACCAAATAATCTTCATCTCAAAACAACTGCTAAATATATAGTTACCGTCAATATAGACACAAGTGACGGACTTGTAAATGGAGCAACTGGTCAGCTGATGCAAATTGATCATTGATTAGTGAATGGCTCAAATTTAGTAACGCGACTTTGGATTCAATTTTTTGAGCCCACGGTTGTTGCTATCGCCAGATCAAAAGTTCGAAACAACCCCGATCCCGAATGGAATCCAATAGTAAAAGCCTCTCGAGTTTTCTTCTCGAGTGGAAGATCCGAGCATGCTTCTGTTGACCGAAAACAATTTCCAATTGTTCCCGCTGAGGCTATTACCATCCACAAAAGCCAAGGAGCAACATATAGCAAAGTCGCCGTGCATCCTAAAACGGCATCAAGCGAGCTTCGCTATATTTTGGATGCAGCAGGGCTACTAGCGCATCAGGACTTTTCCTTCTAGGCGACTTTGTACCTTCAACCAGATTTGGAGCCCCAAATGTCCAAGACGAACTTCAATAGTTAAGGGAGGAAAAGTTCTTGACTACGCAATATGAAATTTTTGTCAGCAGTACTGAAGAAATCTCCTTATATTACTATAATGTTGAGTCTCTTCGAAGCCATCGCGAAGATATTTTCAACAACCCTATTATTTGTTCTGCAAATTTTCTTTGTTTTGTCGAAACTTGGACTCTTCCCAGCAAAGACTTTTCTTAACAAGGTTTCGACATTATAAGAAGAATTGATAGCAATCGATTGAATGGTATTGACAAAAATGGAATAATTATTTATGCCAAGCAAAATATTGCCGAAAATGTAGTTGCGTTGTTTGAGACAAATAAGTCTTTGAGCTCAAAAACTACATACAGATCGATTGCATTCAAATATATCGATACATCCTTTTTTGTTGTTTAAAGGAACCCTGCATTTCCTATAACACAATTTCGAAATGAAGTTATGGCGGATGTAGAAAGAATACGCAGCTTAGAAAATAATACAAAATTGGTAACATTAGGAGATTTTAATATATGCAGATCTACAACCACTGATCGACTGGAGGAATCTTTAAATGAAGTTAACCTTATTCCAATCAATAATTATGCAACTGAAAAACATATAACTCAAATTGATTGGATATTTGCTGAAAATGAGCTTAGGAATGCTGTGGCTCTACGTACAAAACGACCTTTAGTCATCATGATGGAACTTTTCTTAAATATAGCTAAGATTCTTTTATTAATTATTTTATTATTTTCCTATTTTATTTATTTATATGAATTGTATATATTTTATTATAAAAATAAGAGATTTGTATATTATTTAAATATTGTATTAAATTATTTGTTTATATTGTGCAATATAGATTTAAGTTATTATATTTCTCTCGTGGATTTAGACCTTGTCGTGGTGAGGGGGCTAAGTATGTGAGGATTAATACCATTTATCACGGAAACTAGCATCAATCCTTTGTTTTATCCAGTTCATAAACAAAATTGTTATAGGTTACCAAAATAATCAGTTCAATGACAGCTGTAGGATATAGTTGGCCGATCCCTATGAAACTTGATAGATCGTATTATTTTGCCAAAAATAGAATCCATAGAAAATCCCAAATTTCCAGCTCAAAAAACACCAAAGTTATGCCATTTCCGATCAATCAGTTAAATGGCAGCTATAGGATATAGTCGGCCGATCCTTATTAAATTTGGCACTTCGCATAATTTTGCCAAAAATAGAATCCATAGAAAATCCCAAATTTCCAGCTCAAAAAACACCAAAGTTATGCCATTTCCGATCAATCAGTTAAATGGCAGCTATAGGATATAGTCGGCCGATCCTTATTAAATTTGGCACTTCGCATAATTTTGCCAAAAATTGGGTTTGGCTGGAAAACACTTTGGAGATGTGTGGCGAATGTTTCAGCTCGGTCTTCGTCGCTGCGAGATTAGCATCCCAAAGAGTTTCTTACCGGGGTGGTCGTTTCAATTGGGGCGCTAAGATTTGGGTGGGCCCTCCACAGGGGGTACTTTGTGCTTGCTGGCGAGAGATCCTGGATGTACCTCAGCTGTGCATTTTCTTCGTGTTGGGGAAGAGCCTGGTCGAGTGATCGGGTTTATTCCTTTTTGTTTTGAAAGCGTTGTTTTGAAGCTGGTGATCTGTTGCTTTGCACATCAGGACGCGTGCGCCTCTTTTCTCGCACGAGCTGTTCGATTTGCTGATTAGATTTGAAGTGTTTGTTTCGGTCTACATCTTTCCTATGAGGAAGAGAGATTTTAGATGCCGCAACGAGTACTCCAGGACACTCGTATTAACATTCTAAATAAAGATAAAAAGCCACAACCCCTCTTCAAGGTCGAGCTCGAGCCAGAAAGCAGGTCGCTGAAGAAGAACGAAGTCCACCCAATCTACAACCTGCAATATCTTTTGCATCGGAAAATCACTGTTGAAGAGCCACATAAACGCAACGGTCCAGTGCAATGCACTAACTGTCAAGAGTATGGACACACAAGGTCTTACTGCACACTTCGGGCTGTCTGTGTAGTCTGCGGGGACGCCCACAAGTCCGCTTGCTGCACTACAAACAAGGACAGAACCGTGAAGAAATGTGGAAACTGCGGAGGCAGCCATACAGCAAACTATAGAGGATGTATGGTGTATAAGGAGTTAGAGAGTCGCATGCGTCAAGCGACCGCAACGCGCAACCAAAATCCACAGAATGCGTACATCGCGTCAAAAACTGCGCCAGACGTCTTCTTCGCCAAAGCTGCGAGATCCTCATTCGGTCCACTAAACACCACCAACGGCTTCTCCTACGCCGATGCTCTACGATCTGGAAGGGAAATCCCAATTCTGGATTTCGTCTTTCACTGCGAGGATGCGCAGATCCCGGTGGATGTTTTCGTTGCGAACATACCAAGGTGCGCCTGTGATAGTTCTCAAGATTTTTGATTGTGAGCGCTGTATGATGTCTATGTTGCTGATGCTCGCGTTCCCCCACAGCTGGGAGCTATACGTCCAGATTGGCTTTAGGACTGAATCGTACAGGGAAAATAGCCAAGATTAATGATTTCATTAAATAGTTTGCAGACGACCTCTATAGCGCATTTTGGAAGTTCGATCAGCATCTTTGGGAGAGCCTTTTTTGTTTTAAGCCCTCTTATGACTTTTTCGATTTCGTTCGGCCGGAATGAAGGTGCCGCTGGCTGAGGAGAGGACTCTGGCTGAATTACTGGCTTGAGGAATAAATTTGAGGCTGGGTTTGGCTGGAAAACACTTTGGAGATGTGTGGCGAATGTTTCAGCTCGGTCTTCGTCGCTGCGAGATTAGCATCCCAAAGAGTTTCTTACCGGGGTGGTCGTTTCAATTGGGGCGCTAAGATTTGGGTGGGCCCTCCACAGGGGGTACTTTGTGCTTGCTGGCGAGAGATCCTGGATGTACCTCAGCTGTGCATTTTCTTCGTGTTGGGGAAGAGCCTGGTCGAGTGATCGGGTTTATTCCTTTTTGTTTTGAAAGCGTTGTTTTGAAGCTGGTGATCTGTTGCTTTGCACATCACGACGCGTGCGCCTCTTTTCTCGCACGAGCTGTTCGATTTGCTGATTAGATTTGAAGTGTTTGTTTCGGTCTACATCTTTCCTATGAGGAAGAGAGATTTTAGATGCCGCAACGAGTACTCCAGGACACTCGTATTAACATTCTAAATAAAGATAAAAAGCCACAACCCCTCTTCAAGGTCGAGCTCGAGCCAGAAAGCAGGTCGCTGAAGAAGAACGAAGTCCACCCAATCTACAACCTGCAATATCTTTTGCATCGGAAAATCACTGTTGAAGAGCCACATAAACGCAACGGTCCAGTGCAATGCACTAACTGTCAAGAGTATGGACACACAAGGTCTTACTGCACACTTCGGGCTGTCTGTGTAGTCTGCGGGGACGCCCACAAGTCCGCTTGCTGCACTACAAACAAGGACAGAACCGTGAAGAAATGTGGAAACTGCGGAGGCAGCCATACAGCAAAGTTAGAGAGTCGCATGCGTCAAGCGACCGCAACGCGCAACCAAAATCCACAGAATGCGTACATCGCGTCAAAAACTGCGCCAGACGTCTTCTTCGCCAAAGCTGCGAGATCCTCATTCGGTCCACTAAACACCACCAACGGCTTCTCCTACGCCGATGCTCTACGATCTGGAAGGGAAATCCCAATTCAGCCTAACTCTCAAAGCGCTCAACAGGCCCCAGAACAGCCACACAGCAAAACGGAAACTATGATGCTTACCCTCCAACAAAGTATGATGGAGCTTATGTCATTCATGAAAACGACCATGCAAACGCTTGTTCAAAACCAGAACATGGTGATACAGCTGCTCGTAGCACAACAGTCTAAATAATCTATGCAGGCGCTACGAATATCAATGTGGAACGCCAATGGTGTCTCACGGCATAAACTAGAATTATCACAATTCTTAACCGAAAACCATATTGACGTTATGCTACTGGTGGAAACGCATCTTACAAGCAAATACAACTTTCATATAAGAGGCTACACAATCTACCGCACAGATCATCCAGATGGGAAAGCCCACGGCGGCACTGGAGTTCTAATCAGAGAACGCATTAAACACCATTTTCACAAAAGGTTTGCAACAAACTTCTTGCAGGCCACATCGATACAAATTCAATCAAGCAACGGAATCCTTTCAATCGCTGCCGTTTACTGCCCTCCTCGTTTCGCAATCTCGGAAGGACAATTTATGGACTTCTACAATTCACTTGGGGATCGATTTATAGCCGCAGGAGACTACAACGCCAAACATACGAACTGGGGATCACGTCTAGTGACTCCCAAAGGAAGACAATTGTACAATGCAATTATAAATGAAGGTGCCGCTGGCTGAGGCTGGGTTTGGCTGGAAAACACTTTGGAGATGTGTGGCGAATGTTTCAGCTCGGTCTTCGTCGCTGCGAGATTAGCATCCCAAAGAGTTTCTTACCGGGGTGGTCGTTTCAATTGGGGCGCTAAGATTTGGGTGGGCCCTCCACAGGGGGTACTTTGTGCTTGCTGGCGAGAGATCCTGGATGTACCTCAGCTGTGCATTTTCTTCGTGTTGGGGAAGAGCCTGGTCGAGTGATCGGGTTTATTCCTTTTTGTTTTGAAAGCGTTGTTTTGAAGCTGGTGATCTGTTGCTTTGCACATCACGACGCGTGCGCCTCTTTTCTCGCACGAGCTGTTCGATTTGCTGATTAGATTTGAAGTGTTTGTTTCGGTCTACATCTTTCCTATGAGGAAGAGAGATTTTAGATGCCGCAACGAGTACTCCAGGACACTCGTATTAACATTCTAAATAAAGATAAAAAGCCACAACCCCTCTTCAAGGTCGAGCTCGAGCCAGAAAGCAGGTCGCTGAAGAAGAACGAAGTCCACCCAATCTACAACCTGCAATATCTTTTGCATCGGAAAATCACTGTTGAAGAGCCACATAAACGCAACGGCCGGTCTTGACCACATTCAGACCCTCCCAAACCATGGGGACCACTGGTCCAGAGTTCATGTAGTTGACCAATCCCGGGAAGAAGGGGCGGCTGGACAGATCAGCATAGTGCTTCTCCAGCAGCTCCTTGTCGGCCCAGGTGAACTTCAGGGCGACCAGCTTGAAGCCCTTCTGTTCGAAGCGCTCGATGATCTTGCCGACGAGTCCACGCTGGACGCCGTCAGGCTTGACCATGATAAAAGTACGCTCCTTGTTGACCATCGCTACGGAAATAATTGAGAAGAGCCAAGAATTGAAAGGAGGGTGCAATATTCCAGCACAAGACGAAGATTTAATTTGTCCTATCTCAACTTTCAATTTTTTGCACAAATACCTGCAGTTCTGCCATGGGATCCTTTAATCCCGCAGTCAATGCAGGTGCACGGCATGGAGGTAGATGGTTTTCCTGGTGGTGATGATCCTGGATTGCGGCTTGAGGTTTCACGACGCGGTGAATTTTGTTCTTTATTCTGCACTTCACGGACGCGTCGCGAGCAGCTCTTTGAATTTTTGTTTGTGTATAATAACACAGTGTCACTGTCACTTTTATGTTTATGTTTATTTTTTAAATATTTGGCATTATAGTCCACCCGGGGGTGCCAAAATGTTTACTGAGATTGTTTTATCTCACACTTTTAAAATAACAAAAAAAAAGGGTGGCTGCTGAATATTTCAAAAATGGGCTAAAAACGAGAACGAAAGAAATGGTCTTGCCTCTTCAACGTTATAATTTGGACTATATTTTTATCTAATCTAAAGCCTAACTTATCTATTGCGGCGAAGCGGGGCGAATTTGCACCAGAGCGAATATGAGCTTTCGCTTCCGCTCCGCCCTAAGCTATCTTAGAGTAAATTTAGAGACTAACAACTACAAAATATAATTCAACTATAAACTAAAGTTCGAATTTTAGACAACTTCAATATAATAGCAAAGCAATTAACAAGGTGTATCAAATCTTATATTTTTAACTTAACTAACAGTCTTATTGAATGATACGGAGTTAGACGGCCCAAATCGATTGCTGGGTTGGGAGGTCGTTGCGTCTAAGGCGGGATACGCTAGAAACCCGAGTCAATCCCCGACCGAGAAAATTTGGGTGCGAAGACCGTTTTTCTTTGTATGACTTTTTTTTGCTTCTGGATTTCGTCTTTCACTGCGAGGATGCGCAGATCCCGGTGGATGTTTTCGTTGCGAACATACCAAGGTGCGCCTGTGATAGTTCTCAAGATTTTTGATTGTGAGCGCTGTATGATGTCTATGTTGCTGATGCTCGCGTTCCCCCACAGCTGGGAGCTATACGTCCAGATTGGCTTTAGGACTGAATCGTACAGGGAAAATAGCCAAGATTAATGATTTCATTAAATAGTTTGCAGACGACCTCTATAGCGCATTTTGGAAGTTCGATCAGCATCTTTGGGAGAGCCTTTTTTTGTTTTAAGCCCTCTTATGACTTTTTCGATTTCGTTCGGCTGGAATGAAGGTGCCGCTGGCTGAGGAGAGGACTCTGGCTGAATTACTGGCTTGAGGAATAAATTTGAGGCTGGGTTTGGCTGGAAAACACTTTGGAGATGTGTGGCGAATGTTTCAGCTCGGTCTTCGTCGCTGCGAGATTAGCATCCCAAAGAGTTTCTTACCGGGGTGGTCGTTTCAATTGGGGCGCTAAGATTTGGGTGGGCCCTCCACAGGGGGTACTTTGTGCTTGCTGGCGAGAGATCCTGGATGTACCTCAGCTGTGCATTTTCTTCGTGTTGGGGAAGAGCCTGGTCGAGTGATCGGGTTTATTCCTTTTTGTTTTGAAAGCGTTGTTTTGAAGCTGGTGATCTGTTGCTTTGCACATCACGACGCGTGCGCCTCTTTTCTCGCACGAGCTGTTCGATTTGCTGATTAGATTTGAAGTGTTTGTTTGTTTCGGTCTACATCTTTCCTATGAGGAAGAGAGATTTTAGATGCCGCAACGAGTACTCCAGGACACTCGTATTAACATTCTAAATAAAGATAAAAAGCCACAACCCCTCTTCAAGGTCGAGCTCGAGCCAGAAAGCAGGTCGCTGAAGAAGAACGAAGTCCACCCAATCTATAACCTGCAATATCTTTTGCATCGGAAAATCACTGTTGAAGAGCCACATAAACGCAACGGTCCAGTGCAATGCACTAACTGTCAAGAGTATGGACACACAAGGTCTTACTGCACACTTCGGGCTGTCTGTGTAGTCTGCGGGGACGCCCACAAGTCCGCTTACTGCACTACAAACAAGGACAGAACCGTGAAGAAATGTGGAAACTGCGGAGGCAGCCATACAGCAAACTACAGAGGATGTATGGTGTATAAGGAGTTAGAGAGTCGCATGCGTCAAGCGACCGCAACGCGCAACCAAAATCCACAGAATGCGTACATCGCGTCAAAAACTGCGCCAGACGTCTTCTTCGCCAAAGCTGCGAGATCCTGATTCGGTCCACTAAACACCACCAACGGCTTCTCCTACGCCGATGCTCTACGATCTGGAAGGGAAATCCCAATTCAGCCTAACTCTCAAAGCGCTCAACAGGCCCCAGAACAGCCACACAGCAAAACGGAAACTATGATGCTTACCCTCCAGCAAAGTATGATGGAGCTTATGTCATTCATGAAAACGACCATGCAAACGCTTGTTCAAAACCAGAACATGGTGATACAGCTGCTCGTAGCACAACAGTCTCAATAATCTATGCAGGCGCTACGAATATCAATGTGGAACGCCAATGGTGTCTCACGGCATAAACTAGAATTATCACAATTCTTAACCGAAAACCATATTGACGTTATGCTACTGGTGGAAACGCATCTTACAAGCAAATACAACTTTCATATAAGAGGCTACACAATCTACCGCACAGATCATCCAGATGGGAAAGCCCACGGCGGCACTGGAGTTCTAATCAGAGAACGCATTAAACACCATTTTCACAAAAGGTTTGCAACAAACTTCTTGCAGGCCACATCGATACAAATTCAATCAAGCAACGGAATCCTTTCAATCGCTGCCGTTTACTGCCCTCCTCGTTTCGCAATCTCGGAAGGACAATTTATGGACTTCTACAATTCACTTGGGGATCGATTTATAGCCGCAGGAGACTACAACGCCAAACATACGAACTGGGGATCACGTCTAGTGACTCCCAAAGGAAGACAATTGTACAATGCAATTATAAATGAAGGTGCCGCTGGCTGAGGCTGGGTTTGGCTGGAAAACACTTTGGAGATGTGTGGCGAATGTTTCAGCTCGGTCTTCGTCGCTGCGAGATTAGCATCCCAAAGAGTTTCTTACCGGGGTGGTCGTTTCAATTGGGGCGCTAAGATTTGGGTGGGCCCTCCACAGGGGGTACTTTGTGCTTGCTGGCGAGAGATCCTGGATGTACCTCAGCTGTGCATTTTCTTCGTGTTGGGGAAGAGCCTGGTCGAGTGATCGGGTTTATTCCTTTTTGTTTTGAAAGCGTTGTTTTGAAGCTGGTGATCTGTTGCTTTGCACATCACGACGCGTGCGCCTCTTTTCTCGCACGAGCTGTTCGATTTGCTGATTAGATTTGAAGTGTTTGTTTCGGTCTACATCTTTCCTATGAGGAAGAGAGATTTTAGATGCCGCAACGAGTACTCCAGGACACTCGTATTAACATTCTAAATAAAGATAAAAAGCCACAACCCCTCTTCAAGGTCGAGCTCGAGCCAGAAAGCAGGTCGCTGAAGAAGAACGAAGTCCACCCAATCTACAACCTGCAATATCTTTTGCATCGGAAAATCACTGTTGAAGAGCCACATAAACGCAACGGTCCAGTGCAATGCACTAACTGTCAAGAGTATGGACACACAAGGTCTTACTGCACACTTCGGGCTGTCTGTGTAGTCTGCGGGGACGCCCACAAGTCCGCTTGCTGCACTACAAACAAGGACAGAACCGTGAAGAAATGTGGAAACTGCGGAGGCAGCCATACAGCAAACTATAGAGGATGTATGGTGTATAAGGAGTTAGAGAGTCGCATGCGTCAAGCGACCGCAACGCGCAACCAAAATCCACAGAATGCGTACATCGCGTCAAAAACTGCGCCAGACGTCTTCTTCGCCAAAGCTGCGAGATCCTCATTCGGTCCACTAAACACCACCAACGGCTTCTCCTACGCCGATGCTCTACGATCTGGAAGGGAAATCCCAATTCTGGATTTCGTCTTTCACTGCGAGGATGCGCAGATCCCGGTGGATGTTTTCGTTGCGAACATACCAAGGTGCGCCTGTGATAGTTCTCAAGATTTTTGATTGTGAGCGCTGTATGATGTCTATGTTGCTGATGCTCGCGTTCCCCCACAGCTGGGAGCTATACGTCCAGATTGGCTTTAGGACTGAATCGTACAGGGAAAATAGCCAAGATTAATGATTTCATTAAATAGTTTGCAGACGACCTCTATAGCGCATTTTGGAAGTTCGATCAGCATCTTTGGGAGAGCCTTTTTTTGTTTTAAGCCCTCTTATGACTTTTTCGATTTCGTTCGGCCGGAATGAAGGTGCCGCTGGCTGAGGAGAGGACTCTGGCTGAATTACTGGCTTGAGGAATAAATTTGAGGCTGGGTTTGGCTGGAAAACACTTTGGAGATGTGTGGCGAATGTTTCAGCTCGGTCTTCGTCGCTGCGAGATTAGCATCCCAAAGAGTTTCTTACCGGGGTGGTCGTTTCAATTGGGGCGCTAAGATTTGGGTGGGCCCTCCACAGGGGGTACTTTGTGCTTGCTGGCGAGAGATCCTGGATGTACCTCAGCTGTGCATTTTCTTCGTGTTGGGGAAGAGCCTGGTCGAGTGATCGGGTTTATTCCTTTTTGTTTTGAAAGCGTTGTTTTGAAGCTGGTGATCTGTTGCTTTGCACATCAGGACGCGTGCGCCTCTTTTCTCGCACGAGCTGTTCGATTTGCTGATTAGATTTGAAGTGTTTGTTTCGGTCTACATCTTTCCTATGAGGAAGAGAGATTTTAGATGCCGCAACGAGTACTCCAGGACACTCGTATTAACATTCTAAATAAAGATAAAAAGCCACAACCCCTCTTCAAGGTCGAGCTCGAGCCAGAAAGCAGGTCGCTGAAGAAGAACGAAGTCCACCCAATCTACAACCTGCAATATCTTTTGCATCGGAAAATCACTGTTGAAGAGCCACATAAACGCAACGGTCCAGTGCAATGCACTAACTGTCAAGAGTATGGACACACAAGGTCTTACTGCACACTTCG